TGGTCCCTGAATAGAAGGGAAACTTCACCGTTAGTATTCTAAAAGTGCTAGATAACCAAGGTTCCCAGCGATCGGCCTCGAGATGAAAGGACTTTACAAGAAGGAGCATGACAGTGCACGTTGCTCGGTGCCAGAGTCGCCCATAGATCGGCTGGACGGAGAGTATCAGACGCTGACATGCTGTCCCCCTTCAATGTATATCAACCATTACAACGATCCCGGTCCAGATCTGTGTAATGCTACACGTCCCAAGCATCGCTACTAGAGCGCCAGGCCAAAGAGCTATCTTATCTCAATCACCTTACGATACTCAGGTCTGCTGTCCTGTATCCGCTCGCTCGGTCAGACCCATACATGAGGAAACGCGTTTACCCACATCACATACCCAACCTGCCGTCAAGATCTACAAATTGGGCAAGAGGGCGTAATGAGGTGCCCCCTCATCTCTTCGCATCTGCGACGGTGGCTTACATGAGAAACCTACACTGTATTAATCGGGCGCTATTTCCTCAATTATACCATTTGGTGCAGATAATTTACTTTTATCATGTTTTTGACATGACACTTTCATATGCATTGTATTGCTTGTCAAAAGTAATCCAAGTCGTTCTGATTTACACAGGCTTCATTTGATCTGGCAAATTCGTTAGAGGCATCACAGAATTGCAAAAATTCGGAATGTATTATAATTTGTAAGTGTCAATGTTAAGTACAGTCGCATGTACCATTGTAGTTAGTTCTTCATCAGGTTTCTTAGGCACGAAGCTAGATTCCTCGTGAGCAACAGAGTGATACTATCGCAAGTACAAATGTAGTCGTATTGCTTGCTTACTTTCATACTAAAAAAAGTAGGATAAATTTAATAATAATAGTTAAATCAATGCTTATGACCGTACACACAGACAGAGAATAAAGTCGCACCGATTTCCGGTAGTGAAGCCATTCACCTTTAAATGAAAATAATAATTGAGAATTAGGACAAATCGAACAACTTGTTTCGAAACTCCCTCATTATATTTTTCTCTGCACCCATTTAACATAGCGTGAGTGAGTCCTTACGGTACAGCACACCCGTTGTAAGTACTTAGTAACAGAAGCCGCAGATAAGTACAAGGATTGCCTGGTCTGCACTCCTTAAACAGGTGGTTCCTCAAGAGAAATGCTGACCGATTTCGGGCCCCCGGACGACGCAAACCTCCTGTGATTAAGAATATATCGTAGGAGAACATAGGCGTTTAAAACAATCCTAGCACATAAATCCCATCGGAGCTAGGATCTATTTTCATAAATATTCATCACCGTGCAATGTGCAATAAAACTCTCTACAATTCGATGACGCAAAAACCGAGCCTCCCAGCGCAGCTCAGAGAAATGTAATACAATTTGAAATCAAAGGATGTACCTCAATTGTTCTGATGCTGGCAATACCCCCTCTGATAATATACTGCACAAAATAACACTCGTACATGTGTACGAAATTTCCATTCATTCTTCTTTGACGCCTGCAGCAACTACTGCTGCAAATGATCACTAAGATTTATATATCGTAACGTATACACCAAAACACCCTAACACATGTTATAATACTCGTGCTGCTATGTTGGCTCTAACTGGCTCCTTGTAGTACTACACCAAACACGTAACCGTTACATATACTTCATCTCGTATTCTCAGTTCGACACGCAATTTAATATTCAACTAATCGATCAATCTACCACTCACATCACCATATTATTACTTTGTGAGTGTGTATGTTTACGATACTCGATATACTGGTGCGCTGTGGATTGCTTATATGTCTGATAGACATATGTAGCCTCTAATTAGTTCCATGCTCTGCTAGCATGATATGCTACCTTTGCATATATTGTAACTGTTAAAGCGTCCAGTAGTAATATGTATACAGTTGCATATTCGATGCGGTGCCTGACGCCGTGTCGCTCCACATTGTGCATCGCGTGACATAATGCTCTGTTACCAGGGTCGCTATGTAATTATATCGAGGTCTACCTGCTGGAGAAGGCTCGTGTTCTCCCAGTCCCCCGCCGAGCGATGATAGTATACTCGATATCTCTACTCGATGACTTCATTATGTGCCAGATACAGATATTCAGATTAGTATTGTAAAGAGGTATACTAGTATATATTCCAACAAGTGAATAAAAAATATATAAATAGATATTTACTTTATACTGTCGACTTTTTCTATTTTGATAATTTTATAATATCAGTGATAGAAAGGGCTTATTACACATCATTCTAATTTTCTGCTCTATTCATCAGAGATATGCTTCATTAGTCTCAGATGATCATATTTACGATAATTCATATATTAAACCCTTTTTATAATTACTTCATAGTAGGTCAATGATATTTCACGTTCTATATCAATTGTATTTGACATAATGAAATACAACTTATGCATTGTTCAACCCATGTTGTGAGTAATTCACATAACATTATTAATGCATCGTCTTTTTTCGCTTTAAATATGTAATTTGTATATCATTACTAATTCATGTTTTATATAATTAATTATCAATAACTGAATAAGTAAACAAAAAGGAAGCGTTAGCCTTGTCTCTCAGTAATGATACAGTCACTACTGAAACATCTCCAGAGCTTTACATGTTGTTCGACTTGCCCCAACTACCTTGCTGTGAATGGAGCCCTGCTTCAGATAAGCCCATAAGAAATTCTATACATCTAACCCGAACTGAAAGTGGCACTAGCATTGTTTACATGCATTCTAACCAAGATACAGCACTGGCGACTAGGATTTACATGTGCAAGAAACCAAATTAGTGGTATAAAGATCTAGAATTAATAAGGTCTGCAGAATAGGCAGTAAGGAAAGGATGGGGGGTGAGATTAGATATAGATAGTACGCTGTATAGAGAATGACTGGTGACTGAATTCGCTTTAATGCGAGATAGTAGATAATGTAATTCAAAATCTGCTTACATTTGATATTAGTACTAAAGCATGTCATACTTATATTTAACTGTTTTGGAGATGTGGTATTGCTTCGAATGATTGTCTTTGTGTCGCTCATGTTTGTGTGACTGTCCGTCTCAGAATAGTGTTATGTATACAATGTGGTTGTTTGTGGTTTATCCTCCTTTCAATAATCGCGCTGTGAGAATTTGATTAGACTCAAAGTGTAGCTCTGATGTGTGTCGTGATCTCTGAAGAGAGTGAAGACGTGATACAGGAACTTCATGTGCAAAGCCAAGCGCCACCGAATACGCAGTGTATACTCTCTGGCTGCCTGCCATCACCTCAGATCTGGTCCGGAAGGGTATGGGCGTCCCGATGACCTGTCAACTACAACATCGGTGCCAATGGCAAGGCGTCTTTCTCGCGTGTGTCTTCATGGCTCGTCAAGAAGTGTAACATGACACTCGAGACTGGCCAGACTCGCGCATCTCAGTCCTACGCGCTCTCGTGGTGAGTAGCTGCGATATTGCGTGTGCGTTGGCGAATTCATGAGTCTCGATCGTCGAGACCACGGTGTGCTGATGAGAGGATCTTGTTCTCTCTCAGACAGAGCGCAGGACTCTGGTCCGGTCTGCGTATGAACCACTCTATTGAATACCAGTTCTAGACAGTCGAACAATGCTCTAACACATGATGTGCTCTCTCAAGGCGCGTGGAACTGTTTGATCGAATAGGTGTGCTTAGAATGATATAGTGATAATATCGTTTTAGTTCTCTCCTCGCAGTCTTTCTTTAGTGGTGCTCTGTATGCTCGGGTCATGCGTATCTGCAGCATCTCGCAGGTATCCTTGTCAGTTGCCTGTGTAACGAAAGCTGCAGCCAGGTTGTACTATAAATCGCATACACTTGTTTCCGTGTCTAGAGGAACAGTGGGAGAGGAGGACACGCACTACGTCTATCTAGGTAGAAAATACGAGATAAAGCGTAAAATCGCGTATTGTTTGATGGTTCCCTAAGTAGGTCCGAATATTTCATGGATAGAGTATATTGGCAAGGACTATGCGAATTTATTATCTTTTCTATCGCGCGAGTAAAGGTTACCATATCTCGCAGAAGCGCTTTGTCAATCAAAGCCTAGCAAAATAAATCCATGACACTCTCCAAGAAGACTTCTCTCAGTGTCCAACTCAATATGCGCATTCCTTAGAACTAATTTTGCGGATTACTTATCCGTAATTCTACAGGAAAGAAATTCCTCTCCATTAGACGAAAACACATGCTCTACAGCACCACTACCACCTCCTTTGCGCTTAATCTCTCCTTTACCAGCCACGAAACAAATGTGCATGGTTTTGAAGAAACTGGCGCAGCTCTTCGTCTACCAGAAGTCTGATCGCAGCGATCTGCTCGAAACCGTTGAACTAGAAGAAGAGAGCGAAAAAAATTAAACTGATTTCTGAGTATCAGATATCAGTACTGGACATGGTAAGTGTTAAATTGTCAATAAGTTATCGGCGGAATCGTCTCTGCTAACGAAAAATTCTAAGGAACTCACCTCGAAGATTCTCAAAGCCAGCAATATCGGCACACCGATGAACAGGCGCGAGTCTGGCCAATCTCGAGTGTCATGTTACACTTCTTGGACGAGCATGAGAACACACGCGAGAAGAGACCCTTGGCCATGGCACCGATGTTGTAGTTGACAGCATCGACGCCCATACCCTTGGTGACGAACTCGGCACCGACCTTGATCTTGGGCTTGCAGAAGTTCCTGTAGAGCTCTGGCGTCAACACCCGAGCAACTTGGCAACAATTTCTCCAGCCTTTGAAGAAGAAAGAACAAACAAATGAATATACATTTCTGAGACGGACAGCAAAACTGGAAAAGAAAAATTGAACATATTTCAAGTTATCTGCATCTTCTCATGTGAATTTATACCTCAGTGCCATCAGGTTCAGCCTGCTTCCTCACGACCCCTTTGCTTGAACTTCATGTTACCATGGTGCATGACACTAGCAGTGATCTTGTAGCAGTTATCCCTTTCTTTCGTTAGAGAAGTTCAGATATCGAAGGCTTCCTTCACGCAAGTATAAGAATGGCAATTAGTTTGGATATTTCAGTGCGATTTATAAAGTACCACTTCTTTATAAATAACATTTTGAACAATTACTTTAAGCGAAAAAGACGAGCATATATGTTGTGAATGCTCACATGGGTGAACTGCATGTCTTCCTTGTCGTCAATTGATGGGACGGTAACCTTGCCCTGAGCCTCGTAATGGTAGTCGTAAATATCATCGGACAATAAGCACATCTCTGATGATATAGAGCAGAATTAGAATGATGAAGCCTTTCCCGTAAATCTTTCAAAGAAAGTGCAGAAAGATATCAATTTTTTTTTTCATTGTGATATACTTACTCTTCATATAATCAATCTGGTCGCACATGAGCTGGTAGAAGATATGGTAGCCTCGCTCGGCGGGGGACTGGGAGATGACACGAGCCTTCTCCAGCAGGTAGACCTCGATATCAGCGCCGGAAAGCTTGCCGTTGGGAGCGAAGTGGACGCGAATGAATTTACCCTGTGTTAAAAGTAAATAGTGGTGCTGCTAGAGGTGGAACTAAGTAGAGGCTACATATGTTTCTTTAAGCATCCACAGTTGGTATAAACGAAGATTGATCAATATACTCACGAAACGAGATGAATTGTCGTTACGTGTAGTCTTGGCGTTACCATAGGCCTCAAGGATAGGGTTGGTTTGGATGATCTGGTCTTCCAGGTTCTGCAGTAGAAGAGAAGGAAATTGACCTGTAGGCATTTTCACAGTGGTATTGCATCAGACATTGCATCATAAATGATTATCTCTGATGCTGCTGTTGCAAATCCGATTTGGAAATATCCTACCTGTTTATTTTCGCCTTCTTTCTTCTCGCTGGCACCCACATTGGCGAAGTAAGAAAGCACCTTCTTCGTGTTCTCAGTCTACCGGCCCAGACTCACCGCTATCAATCGGGTGCAGAGAAAATATAATGAAAGTTTCAAGCAAGTTGTTCATCTATATTTCATTATTTCACGATTTCATTCTAAAGGGATTTTGTATTATAACTTACGTGATAAGCATAGACTGGTTCTGGCGTTCTGTAAGATAGAAAAAAAAAATGGTCAAGAGTTAATGAATTAAATATAAAATCATTTCCTTTCTGTATGTTAGGCGTCAATATTCAGACGTACTGAACTTCAAGTTGAAGTCATGTAAAAAATATGTACCTTGGCTCATGTTCTGGTAAGCACCGTCGCAGATGGCGAAGAGATGAGGGGGCACCTCATTACGCCTCTTGCCCATGTAGATCTTGACGGCACGGTTGGTGTAGATGGGTAACGCTTGTAGGGGTTGACGGCGATACAGAAGAGACCAGAGTAGGTGTAGATAAGCTTGGCCTGGTAACGGGACTTGAGGACGTAGAAGACGGAGGGATCGTTGAGGAAGGTCAGGTTGGACACATCCTCACACTTCTCGTACTTGGGAGGGTTGACCTGTCCGACCTGCTCCTTCTTGAAGTCCTTCATCTCGCCACTGGGAACCTTGACTGTTACCAGCTTGTCTCCCTTCGGACCTTGAAGCTCACACTCGACGAAGCCCTCATCGGGATCAGGACACCAGTAGGACTTCTTGGGATCATAAGGCTTCGCCTGATCCTTCAT